AAACGTTTACAGGGCTGGACTAGCTCGGGGCCGCTCTGAAGGCTGCAAGTGGCTACTGCAGAATTATTTATTAAAAGCCGTTGCCTTTGTTCAGGGCTGTCGCAAAACCGGGTCGCAACGGGTATTATTCTATGCTAGCCGCCTAAGTTAATGTAACGCGACATATTAGAGATTTTTAAACGAATAAAATATTATTTGTTTATTCATAGTGGATTAGCGACACCGTCCGCGCGGAATTAAAGAAAACATAATAAGTAGAATATGTGTTCTTCTAGACTATGTTCTATATGTTATCCAAATTTCATCGAGATCCATTCAGCCGTTCCATCATCCATCCTTATCCAAACATTCGTTTTTATTTTATTAATAAGGTTTTAATAAAAATAACATAATAATAAATGTGCTACGTAACCGTGCGCTTTAAACAAGCACATTTAATTAAAATTATCCTAATATTATTACGTTTATACATTGTTTTGCGTCATCCCTATGTTAGTTTGCATCAATCATGCAGGGATGGCGCCATTGTCGCCTTTGCGGTGCGAGACAGGCACATATATAACAAGCCCTGTACCTTCGCACCAGCTGGTATTTACACTGAAATACTACGTTCACTCGGCCTATGTATTTATGTTACTATGTATACCGTTTTTATTTACTTTCAGAACAGTATAATAACTAAAACTCAACTGTAATAGAACTCATTTAGAGTTAAGCTCACAAGTATATCACGCATTTTATTGCAATACTAAAGGTCGCCTGCGATTCCGTCCACATGGAATTAAAAACAAGCAAAATTAGTAGCCTATGTGTTCTTCCAGACTATGTTCTACATCTATGCCAAATTTCAGCAAGATCCCGACGGCGGTTCTCGAGATACCTTCAAACAATCATCCATCCATCCATCTAAAGAGTGGCGTTTACAATATTAGTAAGATTAATAACTTTGTATTGTGTACAAAGATTAAATAAATAAATAAATTACTTCTTTACCATTTGTTTTTTTCAATATATTTATAAATTAATTGAATCATTCATTAAAATTAGTCAATCATTCAATAAGGAAAGGAGCAGAAAGGCAAAATAGTGGTAGAGCCCGCTTTAACATCTTCGCACGAATTGGCCCGGCTTGCCCGGTGAAATACCACGACCCAACACAGAAGACAGGCGTCAAGTGGAAGCAATTCCGCGTTTCGTCTGATGGGTGTGCGTTTCGGAGGCCTAATTTAGTCCTCTTTCCCTTCCCACCCTTCTTCTTATAAGGAAAGGATGGGAAGTGGAAATGGACTTTCCGGATGAGAGGATGCATGGTAATGGAAAATATAAAAAAAAATATTTTCTTTCTGTGTATCCTCTCTTACGTCGATGAAAGGTAGGCAACGCATATGAAATAGCGTATGTCTATGGGCAACGGTCGCTTCGCTATTTCAGCGATTTCAGGTGGCCGCTCGCTCGTTTGCCACCTTATGATATAAAAAAAAACGATTTATGTTCATAGAACTGATTCTAATCAAAGTTATTATAAACCATAAAGACATATATAACTTGGTATTGCTTGTTTTATATATTTGTCCCTTTCAATCCACTTAGTTCGCAGTAGACAGCCTATAAACAAACAGTAAAACATCACTACATGTTGTGTAATGCTTGCCGAATGTCGGATCTCTCATAAACACCCGCCGTCGGCAGTTTGCACAACAAATGTCAATAAAATTGACGGCCTCTTTGTGACACTCTGACCCGAATGTATCTGTCGTGTTATTGTGTTGTATTGATACGATGAGTATACATAGCTCATTTGTCGACTGGAAATGACTTCGGATGTTTGAAAATATTTTGTAAGAAAACCTTTCTTTTATATGAGACTTCCCAAAATAAATATAATATAGCACATTGATCTTCTTTTGTTTTTTCTCGTATTTAGTTCTATTAATTTAATTCAATAGGACTTATCTTGATTTTGCATTTGAAGTGAAGTATCAATGACAGATGTCAAATGTAAATTGTAGCTTTTTGCAAAACGTTTTTAATCATGATAAACCTATTTATACTCTTTAATGTAATAGTGAACCGGAAACGTCTATTTGAATTGTAAAATAAAGTCATAATAAAATATGAAGTCGGAAACTCTTATGTTAATTTTAAGTCTAATTAAAACCATGGTCACCCTAGTCAACTGTACGGGTGACATATGAGCCGGACAGTTCTCATAAGTCGTGTGAAAGTCGTAAACATGCCGTCGCCCCTGTCCCCGACTTGACGGAATATTTGGCGATCTTACGCCGACTTTGACTTAATTAAATGGGAATTGTTGAACTCCTCAAATTAAATTCGAGAGGATAAGTTATGCGGCGCGATCCGAACTTTCACTCTCAATGTTCTCTGGACGTAAGTACGATACGATTGAAATCTTGATTAATGCAATGAGTGGTCTACATAGAAATGAGAATTAATAGTAGAAGTATTCATGTATATCCTTTTGACTATTGCTTACTGACTTTATTATATATCATTAGGTGGCAAACGAGCAATTGACCACCCTGGATTCGCCGAAATAGTGAAGTACCCACTGGAGATAGACATACGTAATTGCAAATGCGTTGCCTACTTTCAATCAACGAACGACGCGCAGAAAGGGAATATTTCCCACTCCCATGCGCCCCCATGCTCTGTCAAATCTTCTTCCCTTCTAGATGTTGCCGCTTAGTATGATGAAACAAGCTTCTAAAATGGAGATGTAATAAATATTTTTACTTAAAGATTCTGCCAAAATACTTTAGCGTAACTCGTAATTATAAAATCTTACCACAAAAATAGTTCCAGACAACTTTAGCTATTTATATGTACGTTGAAAGTTGCTCATATTTATATTAAATGGACATAGAGTTTCCATTAACTATATCGTTATATTCCATTCTCTTCGCTCATAGACAACGGACGTTCGAATATGTAGCGATCCCCACGAGGCCTCCGACATGTCTATGCTTAAATTAAACTTTGCACAGATAATAAAGTGTAGGAGGCATTTTGTAAAGGAATTTTCATTTCCATACTAATCGAATAATTTCGCACAGAATACAAAAATGAACGTTACTACTGACAATACATTTATTATATTCGCAAACTAACTAAAATTATTTCAAAGAGAATACTGATTTTTAATCACTAAGTAAACCAAAGTTAAACCAGCCCCTAACTTGAAAGCTTACTGTCTAAGCCACACACTGGATCGGGATAAGCAAGAGTTATATCTGACTACGTTTGTGCCACCTTAGAGGATGTGGAAATAAGCAAACCTAACGCAGACGTTATACGTAATGATCCACCAATTCTAGACCCTAGAGTAGAAATATATAGAATAAAAATATAATAGAACAAGCTGTCGCCCGCGACTGCGTGTGCGCGAAATTAAAGAAAAATTAGTAGCCTATGTGTTCTTCCAGGCTATGTTTTGTATGTATGCTAAATTTCATCGAGATCTGTTCAGTCTTTCTAGAGGTACCTTCAAACAAACATCCATCCATCCAACTATCCATCCAAATATTCCCATTTATAATATTACTATTATTAGTATCAGTAAGATTAAAATAAGAATAAATATACTAGCCTATTTGGTTAGCAGCGAGTGGATTTTACCATATAAAAAACTTACTGCCTCATGTAGAGTCGAGTAATAGTCACTTAAGGAGCCCTTACTGTAGATTTCTTCATCAATTACAAAACGACTCTTTATGCAGATATTTATAAACTTATTTTAAAATTTAATTACTTCATTGCAATCTGATTTGCAAAACGCGAAAATTTTAATGATTAAATTCATGTGAATTCAATGAACTTAATTGAGCTGCAGCGCTTTAAATACATAATAAAAGGACGTATCGATGTATTTTTATGTTGATGAGACATGAACAAAATTTAAGGTTAATGAGCCGTAATGAGCCTTGTTTTATATTGAAATTGTACTTCGACAATTGAATCCAGAATTACGATTAAAGAAATTATGATATAAAATTAACCAATTATTTAAATTGAAAAACACATTAATAACATCTTATTTCTTAAATGTCACTATGTTGTGATTAATCGTGAGTTTCTGAAACTAAAATCTCCGTTTAAAAGATATTGTTATCTCTGTTTTGTCAAAGATAATGACAGGGATGACTATAGAGTTTTATATAGAGATTTTGGTCTCAGAATCCCACGGTAAGTTATAATATATTATTAAGAACTATTAACAGTTAATTATTAAGAATATAACGAAATAACTATTTATATCTGTATGGACATATTATGCGGAGAGATAATTTCATAGGCAAAAAAGTAATGAGATTGAATGTCTACAAAGAGGAAGATCAGAGAAAGTATGGATGGATTGTGTGAAAGAGGATATGCGTAAGGGAGTGTATTCAGATATGACGGCTGATAGAAATGTATGGAGGAGTAGTACATACTGTACCGACCCGTAGACAAGGACAGGTTGATGATGTATTCATTGTAAAGCGAAGTTCCAAGATCCTTTTTTTTTCTTAGAATTTTTTTCTTAAAACTGTAGCAATAAATCAGTGACGAAAATGCTTTTTCGCCTGATGAAATAAACTTTTCAAATACAATCTAATTCCTTCCCCAACATGTGTAAACGTATATCAGTGTTACATTTGCAAGCAACCACCCTTTTCACCGCGCCGCCTCCCGCCCCCATCCCCTCGTGCCTTAGAAACCGCACGAATACTCGCTCTTACATAACAATAATGCCCTTTCTACAGCCTCCCTGATAAATAGCTCTGATACATAACTATACAAATCCGTACAACGCTCAAATGCCACGTGGTTCAATAAATTACGACTTTAAGAAAAGCGCCATCTGTTGGGTGGCGGACGAATTGTTTCGGGAACTGAAACTGTGCTAGCGAAATGTTTGGATGTGGCATCTGGGAATCGCTTCTCCCCAATAGATGGCGTTAGGTGAAACAAATAATCAAGTGATCTTTTTTTTGTTGCAGCTTTCGGAGCTGGAACAGCGGGTTCTGGAAGCCGAGGGCAGAGCAGAAGAAGCGGAGGACAAGGTATGTTGGATTTTTTTTCTTTTTAACTCTAGATACTAAGGTATTTAGATTATTATTGTATCTATTAATTAATAAAAACAATAAGAATATAAATACCATTTCATTTATTTTTTTAAAAAGCCTAAAAAATAAACAAAAAATTAAGACTTAACTAAGCAACCTAAGTCATGTTTTAGTGGCAAATACAATTCTATTCAATTAACAACAATTAACAACAAGGCTATAGTGCACTTTCCTGTTTAACTAGCAAGGAGGATATTCAACTTTAATTTCAAAGTGAAGTTCCACAAGTTAGGATTAAGTGAGCATAAAATTTCACACTACGGATGAGATGTACTAACGTACTTGTAAGCGAAGTAGCATTGCAACGCTTTCCACTCGACTTATTCTTACATATAGAACTACAAGACAGGACAAAACGAAATAAATTTTGTTAAATATACGTATATTTATGTATTCCTATTCTCAGGTCGAATCAGACAAGAATAATTCTAGAAATATCAGCAATTAATAATTTAAAATGACAATTTGTAATGTAAAACCCTTACTAAGCATTTCAATCGGGTTTTAAAGTTCGTAATATTTCACAATAGGTGTAGAAAAATAACTTCAAATTATATACTGACCAACTGTCGCCTATGACTCCGCCCAACTTAGTACCCTGCAGTTACCTTCGAACATCCATCCTTCCATCTATCCAAACATTCGCATTTATTATATAATATTAGTAAGATAAATAATAAGCAATAACTTAACACGTTATTGTCCAAAAACAGAATCCCTCGCTACGAGACGTGCAAGTCAGAGGAGAGTCAACAAAAAACGAACAAAACACGATCATTAATCCTCTCCGGGCCCCAGGCCGTCGGCAGAGCTTTTTGTTTGAAAATATAACTACACTTACAACGCCCAGTTATATGAAACTGTATACAGAGTTAAACCGCTTTTCCACTAAGTAGCTCCGCGACTTTGATCGCGGGTTTACTTTTTACAAGCTTTTATTTAGTTTCCTATCCCGATGTTTGTTATCAAATCTTGCGAATTAAATTTGAACCACTTCCCGTTTACTCATTGAACTGAAATTTTGTGTATCCCATTTCCATTAGTGAAATCGCGCTTATGGAAAAAAGAAACTTGCTATCGCTTTGTGTGATTCTTTGCTTATCGATATTTATTCATAAAACATCATACGAATAGACTAAAGAATAAAAAAATAGAATAAAGGTTTGAATTATCTCGAACTTTATTTAGTAGTCACATTTTTAATTACTTTGTAGGCTCAATTTACGAGCAGATAAAAATCCATGAACATCGTTTATTGCCCGATCGGACCAATAAAACTGTCAGCGTTTATTAACAAATTTCGATGTGCGCTAAATTTATTAATTTTCCATGGGAACTTCAGCGTAATTAAATGAATATCAACTTTATTGCCGCATTCAGAATCAGTTTAATGGTTTCCAAAGGATTTAGTGGAAAACTATGAGAAAAAGTAAAGGCTTTCTTAAGTAACCGTCACACGATTCTGAGTATGACATACTGTCTTGCATGCACCGGCTTTGACTGACCCGATGCAAACAGATTCTTTATAAATTCACTAGCTGTCGCGGAATTTAAAAAAAAAACTTAATTAATAGCCTCTGTGTTCTTTCATCCGTTCAGCTATTCTAGAGATATCTTCAAACAATCATCCATCGATCCATCTAAACATTCGCATTTATAATATTAGTAAGATTTTTGTTGAAATGAGGGTGTTGGAACAAATTATGTTTTTCCAGTGTCCAGCTTGTTTTTTTAATATACAATTAAATAAATGAAAAAACTAGATGAATGTTTATGTGCTTACCAAATAAATAACTACTACTATGCATTATACTAATAACGACTATTTTGCTATTTTTCATATCGTATAAATTGTATGATGGTAGAATATATTCATATTCAATCATACAGAGAGTTTTAAGGTGTCGACTTAGAACATCGTAAAGGGCCCTTTATTGTGGCACATTTGTTAAAGTACGCTACAACTGCGAAGTGGGGGAACACAGTCCAGGGGATTTTGCAAGGGGTGCAGATACCGTTAGCAAAACACATATGGTAGTTGTATTAAATTACGTTGATACAATTATTCATACAATCAAACTCTATTAAGCGATCTATATGTACACATTACAACCTCCATTTCAATCCAATGTTATATTATTCGTAGTGACTTAGGTCAATCAAGAAAATATGGTAAACATAATGGCAAAATTAAGTACAAATTAAATCAACTTCGAATATAATCTTTATGTAGATATTAACTTAGTTGAATATATCGTTGAATAATTGAATGTACATTTTCTGCTGACGTTACAAAGAGAGTACGTACTGCACACAATTGCACAGCGCCCGCCGATCCTCGGGATACCGTTTATTGATTTTAGGTGTTGCATAATGATGACTCATTCCCACGTGTGGAATGTTTGACTACGGAATGCATTTACGTGACTCTTAATACAAACAATGTTTGAAATTGGAATTCTATTATTAAATATTTTGTTCGAATAATTTTATAAACCAACTGTCGTATACAACTCCGTACACGCGGAATTAGAAAAAAACTTAATTAGTAGCCTATGTGTTCTTCCAGACTATGTTCGTACATCTGTGCCTTTCATCGAGAGCCGTTCTGGAGATTCCTTCTAACAAACATACATCCATTGAAACATTCCCATTTATAATATTAGTAAGATACTAAGGAGTGAATTTAATATTATTATATCAGCCTCATTACAACGTTTTTAATATTAGTGACAATGATTTAAAATAATTATACACAAAACATGCAAATACTACTAACATCTACATATACAAAAATTATTACCCTACTTGGGGTTATGTAAATTTTAACGAATTTCTCAGACTATAAAAGTAGCTAAGAAATGCAAGATAGTGACGTAAAGTTCATTCATTAAATACGTAGTAAAAATAACCTAATTATGTACACACTGAACATTACGTTCTATAGAATTTAGGTCAAGGTTAGCGTAAGAATTCTAAATTTGAACTCTACATATTTTTTCTTCTTATAATTCTATGTTTAAATAAATTTAGCAGTAACTAATATATATTTCGCGGTCTCACGTGTATTAAAAAATTGTACTTTTTGTGGTCGCAATATTAAACGAGAACGCTTATCTTATAACAGAATCGATGACATAATAACCTCAACCCTAATATTATTCCTATTCCAACCTTCATCCCTAATATAACGTAGAGATAAATCTTGTCATACGATATTTAACTTTATATCATTGAATTAATAAAAACTATTTTCATTTAAATTAATCATCTAGCGTTGTTTTTTTTCTATCAAAAATCTGGTACTGGCAACAATAGTCACCCCGGATAGGGGGCCACCCTTTCACGCATGCGCATTGCATGTCGTAACTTCAGAGCTATACGCCAAGCCACCGTCCTAACTAACTTCACACCTAAACTGTATATACATAACAAATTTCTCTTGTTATTTTAATTGTAAAATAATAAAACATAACATCCTCATAATCCGTCTTTAAACGTGTAACGTTCGCGCTACGTTTTAAATTCATAGTTTTATTCATAGCTTTTGATGCGACGCGTTGTAAGCCAGTAATAAATGTGATCAATAGATTCTCTTATTAATTATTTGTGTTTAAACTAAGAAAACTCTTTCGCTACATTCAGTGTGTTCGGGCCTAAATAAAGCATCGAACTTTATATAACATTTTCACAGTTTTTCGTGTTATATATTTAGTAGGTTTACCGTCCTTGTGTCAGTGTTGATATGTCGAAACCTAATACATTGAAGGCACACAGATTGAGCGCTGAATTCGCTGAGAAACGAGCTCTTATGAAGAAGACAGATCCATCGAACACATAGCAATCACCAGTAAGTAAAGCTTTGAAACATGGCTTAATATTTTTAAAGCGCCACATTTAGTGAAAGAAAATCTTTGTTTTTTTTTCAGTAATCCATACTTATTATTATTCGATTAAAAATCAAATATAAGATGATAAGTTTAAAATATAATTTTTATTTTATTTTATAAAATTGACTAATAAATTACTCATTTAAAGTCTTAGTCTATATAAACAATAATATATTCAATCTTCTTCTTTCATAAAACCTAACATAAAATTATTAATTTATCCATTTGAATTTCCAAAAAAAACTCATCGATACCATAGATTTTTTATGTATTCCATTGTTTAGAGCTGTCAAATGTGTTATGTTTGTCTGGGAGTATAGTTACACTAGTGGACGTACAAACCGGAACTGCGGCACAAACTCCTACTTCCTTTGGCCTGATACAACACAATTTAACCCAGTCTACGCTAAAAATACATTAACGGTCAACACGAAAATCTGAATAGAAACGAATAACCTAACCCATATTTTCTGATACTCGTAGTGTCTAGTAAATTTGTAAGGCATTGGGCAATTTTTTGTCTTATCTGTGAATTTTGTATGAAATTTTTAGTTTGGTACTCGAATTTTCCGCAATGTTCATAGATATTTTTTTAATTTTTTAATTCTCAAACGAATTTTTAATTGTAAAGTTGGAATTAATGACAGTCGCCGTTTGGTTAGTGTTAGCATTTATTTATGTTTTCCGATGTCATTTTATTATAGCTTAAAAAACTAATATTTTGAAATTCGTAAAAAAACAAAACCTAGAAATAAAGTTAAATATTCATTCGAATTTATACCTACTTGAATCTTTATTCTACTCTGTTATTGAATTTACGAAGACCTTCAAAAAGTTCATCGTAATAACAATGGCTAACACATGTCATGTAATTCCAACATGGCCGCCGTAGCGTACAGCTGTTCGTACGCACGCGCGTTACTTTCCCGCCATCTTTGACAACGTAGCGTACGTAACTTGAAAACTACTATTTTAACTGATGTTATATCTATACTACTTACTATAACGACGGTCGTAATTATAGTACTGTTTAAGAATGAAATATAA